CGCTTGATCGCCAGCACAGCTGATGGCAATATCAACCGCGCAATACCTCGACTGTAGTTCCAGCAAAGCCACTGCTCTCTTGTTGGCTCGGGATGTGAGAGCAGCAGAGTTTAATGATTTGAATTCTTCAAATGCCGTAGACCATGCCGAGACTTTGCCCACGAGCCCCCTCATATCACACCTCTCGAATTGCAGGCGAATATCACTGAGTCCCTCTTGGGCGTCGGCCAGAGAAGCAAAGTCAAAGGAGCGCGACTGCTCGCTGGGCTGCAGAATGCTTGTTACAATGGCTGTTATGTCCGGATCCAAGTCTCTTATTAACTGCAACACCGCATCAGCTGCCAACCCCTGTGGCTTGCGCCTTGTTTCCTTACCATGTATATTTGAGCGATTATACGGCGCAGGAAGCGGTCAGCGAAGCCGAAAAAGGCACTGGCGTCTGAGCGTGGCTTTTCCCTTTGCTTTGCGCCATCATTATTGGCCAGTTGGTCTTTGTTTTGTTCTTGGAGAATTCTGTAACCCGCTTTGACAAGTTGCACTACCGTCGATATGTGTCCTTGCAATGCCTATGAGATGCGACCTCAGCTTACGGGCCTTGATATCGGCAACAACCGCCCGTACCTCGATGCAGATGAACAATATGCACGACATTAAATGAACATGCGCATTGTCTGCAGTCCTCAGCGATTTAAGTATCCCGCCAATCGACATGTTGTAGTGGCGCAGCGCAAATTGGTTCCGACTGGCCGGCTTTGGACTTGAGAAGGACTCGTGGTAGGACGATAACGCAACGAGCGAATGCCGGATACACTTTTCCGAATCGGCAACCTGCATCACATGCCGGGTCCAAAACTCATCCCGGAAAAAAGTCGTCATTTGAGAGACTGTCTTTTCATAAAAGTACCGCAAGGAGCGGGATTCCTCTCGGCGGACAGGCGACGGCACCACGGCGATGAATCTCGGCTCAGCGTTGGCCGGGAGCGGATCGTAGCCGTCGCAGATGCGGCCGCTGGCGGTACCTAATCCGTTGAAACCCGTGAGAAGGAGCACGTTGGGGAGCAGGGAGTCCGGACGAGGGCTAACATCTCTTGCATGCCGGGTGCGTCTCGTCGCATTTCACTCTGCGAGCTGCGTGCCAGAGTCAGCCGTCTACCGAGCCACTTGACGGAACATTGAAACTTCTGCCGGCCGCCTTACTCCTACGAAACTGCCAAATTAGCATGGCTCAATCCACACCGAGCGCTGAAGCAGAAACGGCATCCTGCACAAAGGACCACGGACACGCATTCATCCGCCACGGGAAAACTGACTTGCATGTTCGACACCCCGTACGGACCTTGGGCGCCTTTGCACGCCGACGCTGGCCAGGCTTGACTCTGGGCATTTGGGAGCAGGCAAAACCGCAAAAGTTGCGAATAATCACGTAAAAGAAAGGGACGAGTCCACCCGCTCCTGTCGTACGTACGAGCCTAAAAGGGGTACGCGACCGAGGATATATGTACAATGAAGAAGCTTGAATGGGCACAGCCAAACGGGCTGCGCCATGAGACGAGGACGAATCTGTCTACCCAAGAAGAGTATGGACGTACGATCCGGCCAATCACCTGGTTTACCGCGCTCCAGTTTCTCTGCCAGATCTGGCAACGACGCCACATCGGTTATCGGGACCGCGTTCAAAGTCGGAGGATTCGCGCGGAGAGATCAATTCCACAATATAAGCAGCCGTTGTCTTGGTATTCCCCGGATTTGAACACGTGTATATCGGCACGGAGGGGCCGAGGCACGAGGTTCCGGACATCAGGGACGTCCAGATGTTGTGTCGATACTTTGTTTGTGTTGAACTGGATGGGCGAGTGGGTTCAATGTTCGATTACCGACCGACGGGGTCGTCAAATGAGTGGAGGATTTTGCTGCTAAAAGGGGTACAGTGAGTGCTTGAAGATGGCTATCTAATCTACATTTCATTCATTTAATCTTTTTGATCCAACCATGTTATTGCTCATTTGCATACGTACCTGGTATAAAAATAAGCCCGTGCCGTCACTATCCTTGCCAACCCCGCCAGTTCTGTACCAGCCTCTCGGGAAGACGCCATGACTCTGAGACGAGATGTTGACAAGCTCAAGGCTGTGCTTTCCTGTCCAGACCACTCTTCAGGGAGTGAATAGCATCACAAGCCCACCCGAATAGGCATCAAGTAATTTAACTACCTACCGAGTAGATTGTCAGTCTTATCTGCTAGGCATCGTAAAAGCTGGGTCAGAGACCAAGTGCAGAGCAGAAGCCCACTGGTAGACATGCCAGCACGTGATCACCCACGTGTCCAACACCAATCTTGGGGCCTTGGGCCGGCGTCACCTCGCTTCAACTCATCAACATCCGGAAATCCGCCGACAATCAGCCTTCGCGACCTTCACCGTCGCGTGCGTCCAATTCTAACCGTGCCTTTGCCGGCCGGCCGTGTTGCTCTGCCCGAAAATGTCGGATTCTCCACCACCGTCACCGTCGCAGCACGCAACTGCCCATGCCTACGCCAGCAATGGCCTAGAGATCCTTCAAGCCGCCAGCGATGCTGCGCAGGCCATCCAGAACCCGCAAGCTCTTCAACATGCCGCAGCAGCAGTCGCAGCCGAAGCCGTGTCCCAGGTGTCCCAGGTGTCCCAGCAGCCTCAGGGCGTGGGCATGCCTGGGCTTGCTCCGGGTCCAGACATGACGCAGCAGCATCTGGTCGCCGGCACGGGAGGTGTCATGCGCGATCCGACCGTCAATCCAAAACTCACGCGTCTAAGGAGGGCGTGTGACATGTGCAGCATGCGCAAGGTGAAATGCGACGATAGCAACATTCCCTGCCGACCGTGTCGCGAGCTGGGCGTCGAATGCACATATGAACGAGAGACCAAGAGACGTGGCCCCCCGAACAAGCATGCCGAAGCGGCCAAGGCGGCGAAGCGGCAGCGCCTGGAGATGGCCGCAGTTGGCTTTCCCCCTGCGTCCCCTTCGCCTCAGACTGCTGCCAAGGCGTTGATGAACATTTCGTCGGATGGCATTCTCGATGCCGAGTCCATTGCGCCCATGCCCGTGCTGGAGCTTCTCGTGGACGACTTCTTCACCTATATACATCCCTTGGCGCCGTTTCCCCACGAGCCCACCTTTCGACAATCGTTTGCGAACCGTGAAGACCGAACGCGGCCCGAGTTTCTGGGATTGCTGGCCAGCATGGTTGGTGCCTTGGTCGCGTCTTTTCCGAGAAGCGCGAGGGAGCACCTCAAGGCGCAGCACAGCACGCATCTGTTCCCCAAGGCCATCGTTTTGGTGGAGAAATGCCGCGACATTGCGCTTCTTACGCGCGGTAGTAAATGGATCTTGAAGCAACCCAAGACGCTGGACGATGCTTGTACGAGCTACTTCCTCGGTTTGGCCGGGGCCTATACGCTGCAGTGGAATCCAGCACGCCATTTCCTAGCAGAGACGTTGATTTTGATGCGGGAACTGGGCTTTATGCGGCCAAAACACGCGGGAGATCTGCCAACCTTTGGCACGGATCCGTACTCGACCGAGCCGCTGCCGTTTAATCACGTCAAGGATCAGATCGGGAAGCGCCTGTTCTGGTGTCTCCTGTTGGGCATTAGGTAAGTGGTCGCGTCGAGTTTTGGCTCAAGCCATGACCGCATTATTGACGTTTGTAGGTCCATGACTCAATTGGGTATTACTGGGACGGATTTGGTCATTGCACCATCTACGCCAAGCTTACCTTATCCCTCGTATCCCGAGAATGTCGACGACATCTGCGTCCTGGCGAATGAGATTATCCACCAGGCTGAGGGGACCGTCACACTGCTGACAGGATTCCGATTTGGCATCGACATATACACGACGATGAATGGCGTCGTGAGCCTGGAGCTTGCGTATGGCATGAACACGTTGCCTTGGGCGGACCAGCGAATCCTTCTGCGGGATGGCTTGATGGCTGCAAAGGGAATCGTCGACAACCTTCCGCCAGAACTGCAGCTTTCAGCACAGGGTGAAGACGTGAATTCACTGGCGACGCTGGACGAATCGGGCCTGCAATACGTACCGCCTGTCTGGCCAAACGCCCAGCCGTCCCACGATGTCCGCAACGTCATCAAGACGCAACCAGCGCAGCGGCGTCGCTTACAGTACGAGATCCAAAAAGCCAACATCTTCATGTCTCAACTGGCGACGCGGTCGTACTTTGTAGAATTGTACTTTAACCTCCGAGACGTACACCTGGCTGACGAGCAAAATAACCCCGTGGAGGATCGCAGCGAGGAGGAACGAGCATTACAAGACGCAGACGACAAAGAGATTTTTGCTCTCATGGCCGCGGAACGGGAATTAATCGTGCAGAACCTCCTTGAGGTCCTGGGGTCCATCTCCCAGCGAAACATGGAACCCAACGGACTGTCGCTCATCAACAAGATCCGCCAGGTCGCATCGACGCTATTGAACGACTCGGCAGATCGCAAGGGGCCGGTGGCTATCAAGTCGGAAGAGGCCTTGTCTCAACTGATTGACATACTGATCAAGCTGGAGAAGACGGGTCCCGCGGCGGCGAGTCGCGCAGGCGATCCGAACCACATGACGGCAGAGGACGAGGAGGAGGAGCTGCGGCATTGGGCTGACTTGAGAGAGTATCAGCTGAGATTTGCGGCGAGTGGTGGCTATGCAGGCGTGGGAATCTGATGCACCTCGCCGAGACGAAGGCGTGTTTTTTTCTCCTCTTTGTCCCTTTTGATTTGCATCGTGGACAAGGATCCCAGTGCGATGGCACGAAAACCCTGCCATGAAAGCCACTTGATTCACTACAAGGCCACGCATGGTGCAAGGAGGGGGAGGGGGAGACCTTTTCAGCAGATGAAATTGTAACAACAGAAAAAGTATGGCCAGTAAGGCTACTCATGTAATGATGTGTACTATACCTACAAAAAGAATACCACTGCTCAAACCTCGTCGTCTTCCAGCCTAATGCATACCCGCTCCTAGCGCCACGAAATGACTCCGTACACAAAGGCAGCGCAAGCCAAGACTCTGCACGGCATCAGTTCCCCTGGTCCCCCCGCTTGGCCGAAGACGCAAAAGCATTCCGGACCCGAGTAAACGTCGAGCAAGGGGGCAGAGAGACGTACGTACCCCAAAGAAGACACCAAGACGATGAACAAGACGCCCGCGGGCCAGGAAAAGTTGACGGAGCGTGTAAAAATGTACAACAGCCCCGCGAAGCAGATGAGACAGGTAAACGTCAAAACGAAGTGGCACAGGATGCTGACGACCAGCGGCATGGTCGACGCGCCCGGGATGCCGAGGCGGTTGACGATGATGGTGGCCACGTCGAAGAGGAACGCGGCGAGGGCCTAGGCGCGACAACAACAGCACAAGTCAGCCCCGCACGTTTGCTTTTTCTGCTTCTTGGACGGCCGCACCACGGGAAAGGTCAGCTCGAGGACGCCCTCGCAGAGGGAGACGGCGTCGCCGGGCCTGCACAGGCGGTCCGACTTGATCCACCAGGCGTCGACGGCGATGATGACGCCCGGCAGGAGCGCCGAGACGCGCCGTATCGTGTTGTACACGTTGAGCGAGAGGTTGAGGGCCCTGCGCTCGGGGGTGCGCTCGTAGTCGTACGACGAGGAGGAGACGAACGATGATGATGTCGTGCACGAGGCCGACGACGAGGGCGGCGTGAGTGTGCTGGTTGTCCTCGAGAGGGTGGCGGGGGCGGAGGCGGAGGCGTCGCTCGTGTCCGCTGAGAGCATTATCGTATTGTATAGTCAGTATAATGAATCTTGCTTCCTTTCGTGGTTTAGTATTTATTATTATTTTTTTAATAAAAAGATGGCGGATAAATGAGCGTGGTGGGTGCAGAATCCAGATGCCCCTGTTCAATGTTGATGAGGGGCGAAATGGCGGCGCGATATGAGGCGTGGGAATGCGGTTGCCGCCTGCTTGAATTCCCCTCTTGCCGGTTTAAAGACACGATGGTGAGCCGGGGCGGAACACGCACACAGTTTTTTTTTTTCGCATGAAATGTCGCGATTTGCATAGTTGCTTGCGAGCTGGTGGTGCTGCGGCCTGCCTGGCGCCAACACGGGACGAGGCTGACGATCTGGACGTCTGCCGTGGCCGAGGTCCAAGATCCAACGATGCCTTGGAGGCAAAGTAGCCTGTTTCGCCGCCGATATGGACATGGCGCGTGCCGAGGGCGCTGGTGAAGAGCGGGAGGAGAGGGGTGAGCGGTGGGCATGTCCAGAGGAGCAGGTTGGCGAGCCAGAGGACGACCATGTTGTAGATGGGTGTATACCGCCGTTTCGGTGTGGAAGCGTTTGCCACGGTCATGGTGCTTGCAGTGTGTTGTTATGCTACAACGGAACGGTCGGTTGTTGTTCATCAAGGCTGGTCCCATGCGGGAAGGTCGACAAAACTACGCAGTGTCGCAGGACTTGTTGCGGTGCCGCCCATGCCCTGTTCGCGCGCAAGCCACTGCATTGAAGCAGAGTCAAACCAGACGCTTCATGGTCCATGACAAGTTCTGCCAGTCTCGCTCCACGAATGACAAACACCTCCCTACAATACGTAGCCTCACGCAACGAACAAGACACCCTCCAGGCTCCCACCACGCATTTCTGTGTAAACCACAACCACTTGCCTCTTTCGGCCATACAAGTCCGCGTCGCCAACGCCAAGTCGGCGCCCGCAAAGCTGATTGGCCGTGTCGCACCATCTGCTGTCACCGGGCCGAGATGCCAATGCCGTCATCTCCACAATCCTGCCCGTCAACCTCCCGAGGTGCCGATTGTTGCGCGGCGCTCAGTCCCAGCCTGCAGATGACATGGCTCGGCCTCCTAATCGCCCAAGCATCTCGACGACATGAGCGACGAAGCTACAGCAAGCCCAGACGGCAAGATCCAACAGCCATCCCGGCCAGCCGGTGCGTCTGCCTCGGCTCACACCGACGGTTGGAATTGCGGGGCCGAAGCAGCCTCATCCATCATCTGAAGCAGAGCCCGTCTCGAGTCTCGAGTCTCGACGACCCCCCCTCCCAACTTGACTGCTGCATCACTGCCCGAACCACCTCAGCCATCTAGCATCAATCCATCCCATCCACAAAGGTCCTACTCGAAAAAAAAAAAAGAGCCGTCACCATGGCCGACATGAAGGCATGGCAGCTCGCCACGCCCGGTGAGGTCCAAGACACACTCAAGCTCACGACCGTCGCGCGCCCAGCGCCGGCCCTCAAGCCTTCCGAGATCCAGGTCCGCGTCATCAGCGCGGCCATCAACCCAGCCGACCACAAAGTGCCAGCCATGGGCTTCGGCGCGCGGGCCATCCTCCCCTTCCCCAAGACGGTGGGCATGGACCTCAGCGGCGAAGTCGTCTCGGCAGGTAGCGCCGTGACAGACGTGCTCGTCGGCGACCGCGTCATGGCGCGCCTGTCGCCGCTGCGCCGCCCCGGCTCCCTATCCGAGTACGTGACGGTCCCGCGCGACGGGTACGCGCGGCTCTCGCGCACCGTGGACCCAGACGTGGCCGCCGCCGTAGGCACCGCCGGACTCACGGCCTACCAGAGCATCAAGCCGTACGTCCGGCCCGGCGACAAGGTCTTCATCAACGGCGGCTCCGGCGGCGTCGGCACCTTTGGCATCCAGATCGCCAAGCTGCTAGGCTGCCACGTCACCGTGTCGTGCTCGGCCGCCAAGGCCCCGCTGTGCCGCTCCCTCGGCGCCGACGACGTCACCGACTACACGGGCGCCGACGTCGTCGCCGAGCTCGTCGCCCGCGGGCGCGTCTTCAGCCTCATCGCCGACAATGTCGGCTGCGACCCGCCCGGCCTGTACGCCCGCGCCGCCGGCCGCGTCCTCCTCCCCGGGGGCGTCTTCGTCATCGTCGCCGCCGGTCGGCACATTGGCCACGCGGCCTCGGCCCTCGCCACCCTGCTCCGCCCGTCGTTCCTGGGCGGCGGCACCAACAAGGTCGTCTTGTACATGGCGTCGAATAACCGCGAAGACTGGGCCGCGCTGGCGCAGTGGGTCAACGAGGGCAAGCTGACGGCCGTCGTTGACAAGACGTTTGCCTTTGACCACGCCCGAGAGGCCTTTGAGCATCTGCAGACGGGCTCGGCGAGGGGCAAGGTTGTGCTTCATGTGTCGAGCAAGGACTGACGCGTCGTCAGCGTCCCAACGGTCAACCGGCCGCTTGGTAAGTGAGTGGCTGGGGCTGACAACGCAAGGCAAATCGAGTTGGTTAGTTTAGCGCTATGAAATCTAGTAATGACCCCTCATGACAGGGCTGTGTCCTTGTCCCTCCGTCTCATCATCTAGATGACGCCCCCAATGCCTGCATGTAGCAACGCACCATGTTGTCAAACCCCAGTCCTGCCGTCACTTCTTTGCATGGCTTCGACTGAGACCTTTGTGAATACGGCACAAGGGAGGAGTGCCATTGACAGCACCAGCTTGTCCGGTTCTCTAGCGTACATTGCTGCCTGAACTGTTGTTGGCAGCTTCAGTTCTCATGCTCACCATACTTTAAGAGCTATGGTTTCGTATTTCATTCTGGAAAAAACAAGAAATGGCCAAGTACCACGCAGTCTGCTCAAGCTACTGCTTCATTTCTACCTCAAGCTCTCAGCCATACACAACTACAACCCGCTACTAACCACGTCCACGGCCATGTCATCCCCCCCCCACTGGCACCCGGCAACAAAAATTTGAAATCTCAGCTGGGCCCTTGTTGCCTTTGTCCGTCGGAAATGGTAGTCATTTGCGTCACAATAGTTCAATATGTTCAGACATCAATCACATTGACACTATCCTATCCCGTCATCCAATCATCCATCCGTGAAAGAAAGTCGTTAGTTAAACGCCAGCATCCCAAACAAAATGCACAAAACACCACACAAACCCCTCCGAATTGGTATCAAACATCAGGGTATCACAAACAAACGCTAATCCATCCGGGAAAAAAAAAAGGTTCAGCCGGTCATTAGCTATCACGGCGACAAACGCCGCGGCACACAGCAGTCCGTTGATCCACCTCATAACGTGAGTCGTCGATATCTTCGTCTAAGCGCTGTCCCAGCCTCTCCGCCAATCGTGTATTACGGCCGCCTTTCAATTGACCATCTCATAACAGCCAGTGGGTATCTCATCACGTCATGATCCGATTTCAAGTTGCAATCCAAAGGGGAAAAAACACGTCTTTGTGAGGAAACTCGGGTACAACAAAAGGAAACATGTATGGTCCAAAGGGAGCAAGGTGTGTTAGCAAGAAAAAAGGCCATAGCGCGTGACACGCCCGGTAGGAAATAATAGACAAAGTCTGGAGTCGAAAGTGGAGAGGAGAAATCCACCAGTGCTGATTCTGGGAAGAAAAGTGACCAGCTGCTTTTCTAATAAGCTGTCGCTGTCGTTCCTTCGCTCGTCGCGACGGCCACAAGCGCCTCCAAGCGCCTGAGCGAGTCAGGATTTGCTTTTCCGTCCTGTTGTTGGGTCTGCGCCGGCTGTTCTCTGCCAGGAAAGCCGCTAAAACCGGTGAAGTTTGGGTGAACCATGCGATCAACATGGGCGCCGCGGGGATCCTGCATGACATGCTCGCCGTGTGCCTGCGATGGCGCAGGTCCGTGGTACCAGCCGTGCCTTTTATTCTCTCGCGGCGTTGCAATTGACGGCGCCGACATGGTGTATTGGTGAAGAGATCGACCACTATGCACAGAGGCTGGAAACTGTCGGGAAGGAGGTACCTGATCCTGAAACCGAACGCTTGGTTGATTGGCTTGCATCTGAACGCGTTCAGCTTGGGCTTGAACAGCCCTGTTAGCCTCCGAGGCCCAACTTCCGGCGCTATCACGAGGGGGCGTCTTGTGGCTAATATCTAGACGGTTTAATCCACGTTGCAGGCTGGCATCATACATGTTCAAATTGCGGCGTTCGTCAGGCTGAATCGTTTCACCTACTCCAGGCTGGAAAGATCGTCTATATGCCGTCTCAGAGTCTATGGCCATGGCCGAAGGACCATGTTGCTGCTGCGGCTGGGGTGGTGGTGGTGTCGGATGTCGGCGTGGAAGCGGGTCGAACGACTCAATGCCGGGAAGGCGCAGAGATGACTGAGAGCTTGACGGGTTTGCGATAGGTGGAGGAGGATTTGGTCCCACGTTCTGATTGACCCCGGCCAGTTGGTTCGACTGAGTCTGTGGCGGCTGGTTACCGTAATTTCGGCTGTCTGGGTGCCATGTGCGTCTCCTCCACGCGTCGTCGCCGGTGCTTGAGACAGAGTCTCGCCGAGTGGACCACCCAGATGTAGTCGACGTCGGAGACGGAACTAAACTCGAGCCCGCGGGCGAGAAGGCGGATGGGTGTGAGCTGTTCATGTGACCAGCACTGAATAAGGCACGCCCGGGAGCTGATTGGAAGGGATTTGCGCTGGATGGCACACTAAGCCGTCGGCCCGGCGTTCGGTTTCCTGAACTGTACATGCTTTGGGATCGTGAGTGGGATGACGTAGGCGAGGCCATTCCAGACATCCACCGCGGGCTGCTCTGTGCCGTTGAGAAGGTAGCAGACGTCGGGGTGCTGAAATCGCCAGGGGAAGGGGGTCGGTATGAAAACGTGCTGTCTGCGTTGCTTCGGTACGATTCAAGCGACATCCGAGACCGAGGATCCGCGGCCATGACCAGGGGTGGCGGTCGCCTCCTCACATCCATCTGAGGACCATAGCCCGAGCCAACAGAGCTGATGCTGGCAATGCTGGACGTGGACAG